TGTGCCCCCGGAGGCTTCACACCCTCACTACTCCACTGTGCACCCTTTCCCCTTGGTCTCCTGGGACACCCTGCACCCACCTTCCTCCTGGGACACCCTGCACCCCCTTCCCCCTGGTCTCCTGGGACACCCTGCACCCCCTGGTCTCCTGGGACACCCTGCACCCCCTCCCCCCGGTCTCCTGGGGGACCCCGTCCCCCAGTCCACTAATAATTTCTCTTTTCTGTGATCTCTTGTATCTGACAAAGTTCTCTTTATGTTCCAGATGGACTGACTGTGTTCTGTGATTTGTCTGCGGATGAGGACCTGTTCCTGGGAAAGGGAGATCTGCAGTTTGATGTATACCGGAGGATGCGAGAGGAGAACCGGTACGTCCATTCATCATTCTTCCCCTGCAGACTATCATCACCCATTCATCTTGAGCTTCATGTCTCCTCCTGTCAGTGTCTTCTTGTCTGATCATTAAACCTTTACTGGCTGGCGGCCCATAGCAGGCTGGCGGCCCATAGCAGGCTGGCTGCCCATAGCATGCAGGTGATAGAGCTCCCCTGAGATTGTAGAGAGCTATTGCTGACAATTGGCTTTTCACTCACTGATGATGTGGAGGAGAGGCGAGTAGTTGCTGTAGGGTCAGGCCTAGGGGAGGGCTTTACAGTGTTATATTTACATTTCTAAGCCCTCCCCTTCCTCTTACACAGCCTGCGCGATCCGTCCTGCGGGATTTAGACCTGCGGGATTTAGACCTGCGGGATTTAGACCTGCGGGATGGGACCCACTAGGAGGATCCACTAATCTCCCAATCATCTTATTCCAGCCATGTCCGCAGAGTATGACGTCCTCATATAAGGGATCCACTTCCATGAAGGGAAACAAATGTTACATTGTGGCGTCACATATTATCTTCAGGGGAACAGACGTGGGGAGCGAATATGTGATGTACATCCTCCATGCGGATTCCTTTATCTTTTCTCTGTAATATTATATTCACCTTGGAATTTCCTTTCATTGAGATTAGAAAAACTAGAGGGAACGACTACCTGCGGGATGGCACCTGCGGGATGGCACCTGCGGGATGGCACCTGCGGGATCCGACCTGCGGGATTTAGACCTGCGGGATCCGACCTGCGGGATTTGGCCCTGCGGGTTTGGACCTGCGGGATCTAGACCTGCGGGATCTAGACCTGCGGGATTTAGACCTGCGG